ATGGCATTTTTTTTTTTCTTTCATTTTTCCCTTCGAAAGCGCTCCACTCCCACCAACCGTATCTGTCATTTTTCTTTTCGTCTCTCATCATCGCACCTTTAAAACGATAAATTTTTATTCTATAGTTTAGTATGTATAATTTAAATTAGGAGTTATTTGTATGAACATGGATAAAAAAATATAAAAGTTGATATTAATTTTAATGTCAAATAAATTTAATTATTAAATATTTAATAAATTAAAAGTTAATTTTTATTTTTTAAATATAAATTTATAATGAAAATATATATTTAATATATTTTTATAAGTTTTTAATATTAAATATTATTTTTTATTTAATAATTTTTATTTTATAATTTAATATAATTTTATAAAATAAAATTTTCCCTTTTAATTTGCATGAGAATTTGTTCGCATAAAGGTTAGGAGGGGGGAAGGGGAAGAAAAGATTAGTCTTAGTTTCTTTAAATAGATAAAAAAAAAATAAGGGAATTAGAAGAGAGGGTAAGAAGAGGAAGAAAGAGTTTAATCCCTCCATATTCTTAAGCATTTCAGATATTAGAAATAAAAGATTTTAGAAGTTCTATAAGCCGCTCATCTCTCTTCCTCCTTTATATGTTTACCTAAATAAGGTAAAAAAGAGATCTCTCCCTCACTCTATTTCCATTTGCCTCTAAATCCTTCAATCTAGACTTAAATATTGTAATTGTTTTAAAATTGAAATTGTATTAAATTATAAAATTATAATAACAATAATAAACAAAATTATCATCAACTGTATAATCTAATGATAAAATTATTTATACTCTTAATTACTTATTAAGAGTTCAATGTTTAGTTTTTATGTTAAAAAATTTTTTTTCTCTAAGAGGATTACCCTCTGTGGTTAAGGTTATCAAGTTGAACCCTTCTTCATGTGGCTGAGATTTCTTTCATTGCTCTGCAGGCTGCAAAATTTCAAATGCTTTCTCTCCATTCTATCTTTCCTCCGAAACTTCCATTTTCCATCCCACTTTGCAAGCATACAACACTCATCTATCGATATCTAGCACATGTTAAAGATGTCAAGAGCGGAGCAAATTAAGTCGTCTTGGTTTCCTTATCCTTCTTCATTTTGTTCTCCTGTTCATGCAGCGGACAAGGACTCACAACAGTTCGAGATAGACCAAGAAAAGGGTAAAGAATCCCTTCAGAAACTAGACCAGCAGCTGCAAGCCCTCTCCAAGAAACAAGCTCAGCCCTCCCAAGATTAAAGGCAATTTCTCTCCATCCCATGCATCATCAACTGTCTCTGTAAATTCTATAGGAAAAATTTAGATGGATCTTTCCAAATTTCTATGAGCTTTGTAGCTTCTTCAATGATTAAGAACGCTTAAGCTTATAACACATGTAGTGTTTTCAACTGATTACAGCTTCAGAAGTGAAATTTGTAAGAGATGAAATCCCAGAGGAGATGTCAGAACTTTCAGGGTCGTTTCTATCATATTTAGCTGTTGGTCTCCTTATTTTTGCCATCTTTTAAGTTGTCTTATTTTACTCGGTAATAAAGCCAAGCATAGATGAACCCGACTCACCGTCGGTGACCAATGAAACTGAGTCTGAAACAATTTTACAGTGATTTGACACCAATACTGTTGTAATTCCCAAATATATAATAAATAGCATAAAATTTATTTTTACATTAGAAGGAGATGACTATTTTGTAATGCTTGTTTAATTAGGACATTCTTTTTAATGCTTGTTTAATTAGAACATTCTTTTTCTTTGTGAGTTTCTTGAAAGACACCTGTAATTAAAACTCCACTTTTTTCTAGAAAATGGACTAAAAGGCATGTCTGAATTATGCTACAAGTTAGTGCTCGTGACATACTTATCCTTCAAGGGTCAACTTTCATCATTTATTTTTAAAAAAT